CCTTGTTGAACCTCATCAGATTTCTTGTGGCCCAATCCTCTAATCTGCCCAGGTCACTCTGGACCCTATCCCTGCCCTCTGGTGTATCTACCTCTCCCCCTGGATTAGTATCATCCACAAACCTGATGAGGGCGCAATCCATCCCCTCATCCAGATTAATGAAGAGCTTAACAAATCCAGCCCCAGGACCAACCTCTGGGAAGTTCTGCTTGATACCAGCTCAACCAGCCATTGAGCCGTTGATCGCTGCCCACTGAGCCCGACGATCTCGCCAGCTTTCTATCCACCTCGCAGTCCGTTCCATACGACTGTAGCCAGCTGACAAGAACACCGTGGGAGACAGTATGAAAGCTTAGCTACAGTCACGGTATATCAGCCCACCACCTTCCCCACACCCACAGAGCCAGTTAGCTCAGAGAGGGCATTTAAGTTGCTCCGGAATGACTTGCCCGTGGTGAATCCATGTTGATCACCTTGCTCTCCTTCAAGTGTTTCAAAATGGATTCCTTGAGGATCTGCTCCCTGACTTCCAGGGACTCCGGTGAGACTGACTAGGCTGTAGTTCCCCAGATTCTCTTTTGGGTCTTTTAAAAACAGGCGTGGGATGGCTCCTGGCTGGCCATGTCTTTTAATCCAGTCTCTGGCCCACCCCACTGGGACCCTCGTCATCGCCCTCCATACACCAGCTCCCTGCCCCACGTTTCCATCCAAACCCTCTGTATCCTCCCCACCCCATGGTCAGCTCCCTCCCTGACCCTGCCTCCCCTCCTAAATCTCTCTCCCAGGCCTGTACCCCTATCCCCCACCCACTCTGCACCCCAGTCCTCTGCCCCAGGTCACAACCCCCTCCTGCACTCCTGTCCCTTACCCCAAGCTCCCTTCTGCACCCAACCTCCGTCCCAGGCCCCACGCCCTCTCCATAGAAAAGTGCTGCCTTTGACTACTTACCAAAAGCTTGGAGTGCCTGCCCCCATCAAAAATGATTCCCCACCCCATTTTAAAACTTGGGCACCATGTTTGACTTCTCCCAGCTGTCTGGGATTGGCTCTGCAATTGCATCAGCCAACTCTCTCAGCGCCTTCAGATGCATGAGACCTGGCCCTGTGGTCTTGTGCATGTCTGGCTTTTCTAAGTCGTCCTTAACCTGTTCTTCCCACTGAGGCCTGCCCACCTCCTCCCCTCACTGTGTGCCCAGTGCAGCAGCCTGGAGCTGACTTTGTCTGTGAAGTCCAAGGCAAAAAAGGCGTATCCCACATCATCTGCCACTGGGTTACCTTCTTCAGCCAGTAAGGGCCCCACCCTCTCCTTGGTCACCCTCTTCCTGCTAACATGCCTGGAGAAACTGTTCTTGCTACATCGTCACATTCCTTGCCAGATGCAAGCACAGAGTCTGGGTGTAGAGCCCCTTACATAGTCAAGCCGGGACTTAAAAACCTCGGAGGGGTGGGATTCCACCCCCTCCCTCGGGAACCCATCCCAGTGCTTCCCCACCCTCCTAGAGAAATCGTTTTTCCTAATACAGGACAGCCCCGCGATACGTTGCCCCGGTACACATCCATTCTGCACTGAAGTCGATGATGATTATAGAAACGGATGTGCTAAAAGTCCTCCTGTTCCCCACTTTTAAGTGGCACAAAAAACCCCCCCAAACCTCACAACCAATTTGTGCAAATGGAAGTCAGCTGTGGGGAAAAAATTCCCCCCTTTAAGTTGTTTCACTATCGGTCCTAGTCCTTTGGAATGTGTCTTGGACTTATAGCAAGGACGGCCCTGTAGCCAACCTAGACTCCCCCACTGGAACTTGAACCATTGCTCCTCACTCTGTCATCTGCCCCCACTG